ATATATATATATATATATATATATATATACTAGCCGTTTACCCACGCCAAGCGACGGGTGCGAATAGTTTTTTCAGAAATTAGTCGGAGTTAAAAACTCGATCAAGGCAATTTTAAAACTCTCATACTCAACCCACTTGGATATATGTTCAATGTTCACTAACAATAATTAAATATATGACTCAATCCATTCAATTCGGACTCATCCACAACACAATACTATAATTGTTTACTTTAAATAGCAACCCAATTATAATAAACAAAAAAATAATAGTTTTTATTTAATAATTCAACATGATACATAGACACCAAATTATAGATCTACTTGTCTTCTAGTAAAAACGGCTAAAGTTAAACTGCCAAAGTTGTCAGTCACTCGATTTTGTATGACTTCTTGCAAAGAATAGAGCTAAGACCAATAGATTCAGAAACCAGAACCAGAAAAACATAGTGTAAACAAACAAAAATTAGTAACCAAATTCCACTTTACCTTTCACTTTCAAAGCTTATAATAGTAGATATTTCAATAAACATCCATTAACAAAGATCCACCCTTTTAATTTATTTCTGACAATTTCTTAATTTTAAAATATTTATAAAAAACATACAATGTTCTAATAAATAAATCAATGAAACTACATTGTTATTCTTAGCATTTAACCCTTCTAAAAATTGTGAAACTTCATACATATTGTAACTATAAATAAAAATTGGGATAATTTCCAAAAGTAACACTACCCCTTTTTAGTCCACACATTTAGCTTTGTTGAAAAAACCTGTCAATTCGCATCCATGTTGAGAAAACCAGCATTTTGACCTTAAAAATCAAAACTATCTTTCAAAAAGGGACAACATATACAAGCAAACCAAATTTAAAGACAGACATATCTTTGCTGGAACATCCAAGTACACATGATGATTTCAAGCTCACGATTTATAAAATACATTAGTTGAATTTTTTAGTTTAACACTCGTTCAAAACAAATTAGAATTATTAGAAAACTATCTATTTTATTTGAGAGATAATTACTCTAACAAAACTTACAAAAAAAAAAAAGCAAAATATTTTGTACAATTCCCACACAACAATTTGTTTCAAAATTTGACCATTTTACCCTTGGGACTGTTCTTTACCTGGTGTGAGTTTTGGCTCTATATGGATATTGCCTTTTTGGTGTTGGCTTCAGAGTTTTTTTTCCCTGTACATCCCAAGCCGCCTTGCTTTTCTTCTCATTTTATGACCTTTTTGCCCCTAGCACTGACTGGAAGGTTATATAGGCCTAGTTTCTTTTCTTTTTATTCTCCTTTGGAGTCTTGTTAGTGAGACCATTCCCCTCTCAAATTCCTAACTGGTGGTGTTCTTGCTTCAATCTTATCTATGGTCCAGATTTCTTGACCATTTTTCCGTTGGGGCCGGGTCGTTTTCTTGTTTCCTACTGTGTCTTTTATCTGTAGTTTTCCTTGGTGATATTTGTTGTGTTATAGATGCATATATATTAATGAAATCCATTTGGTTTTCCATTACCACCTGTGAGTATCCGAGTTGTTTATATTAACCCCAGAATTCACAATAAAAACTGTTCATAGTCTTATAGATGTACAGACATAGGTTTATGTTACAATTCCTTACCAAAGTAATTTACCCTCAGAATGAGCATCATCCTCCACCAGTTATTTTGGTAAAATACATACTTTTTTGTTTTTAATTGGAAAATTGTAAAGTTAGAAAGTCTAAGCTATTTGCAAACATGAAAGTTTAGTAAATCAGTACCTGATCATGTGCAGTAAGAACTTTGTCTATTGGTTGATATAACAAACAAATACATGTATTCGACAACCATCATTGCAGTTTGAAGCAACTCTCCGACTTTCTTATCCGATGAAGACCCAACACACTCACTGAACCTGAAAGTCAATGAAAAATGAAGTTTTGTCAAATATATTTACAGAAAACAAAAAGTTGTTCATAGGTTGTAGAAATAATAAACTAACTTTATCAATCCCAACACACTCTCGTGGATGCAGAATGAAGGCTTATCATTTTTTACCAGCTTCATACATTAATTTGCAAATAAACTTCTTAATAGTAAAATACAGGGCATTATCACATCTACCAAACAATAGTATTAGCTATTGCCTCTTGTGAATTAAGAACATGTAAGGAAGCTTCTTTTTTGATGTTAAGCATAAGCTTATATTGTGCAATCTCATGCAAAAGCACCACGAATCTTCTTCAACGTAAATATTTACAAATGTACATATAAATATTGATAGATTCAGGTGCACATAACCTAATTTCAGAAAAAAAAGGTATTTGATTTTTTTTCCTTTTAACCCAAAAGAACCATACACACATAAATAATAGGCATTTGAAAATGCAAGAATCACAAACAAAAAAGAGTTTTAATCACATTCAAATCCCAAAACAAAAAATAGAGAAAGTCCGAGGTTTTACATACCATATGTGTCGTGTGCAACTTACTTTTCGTCTTGAACTCCTAAAAACATATTAATCAAAGAACTGGAATGCCCAAAAAGAGGCAACATAAAAGCAGTTTTTTAATGTAACATTTTCTAGGTGTTATCGAGGGTAAAAGATTTTAAATTATAGAAATAAAAAGGAATTGTATTGAGCCAAAAATATTGTGATTAAAAAATTAAAGGGAATGAAAGAAATGTAAAAGAACAAAGAGATGACATTACATCATCCAATACATTATCATCACACATACACACACAACAACAGACCTTCTCAGAAATAGAAAAGAGGAAAAAGATGAAAGAAGAGCTAGAATATAAGACGAACCTATGCATTTCTATCAAGAAATGATATTCATGTTAGAGGAAATGATGCAACAGAGATGCAGAGTCGCTGCCTTCCCTCTTCCAGATGTAGAAGAAGCCAAATCTTATGTTGTTGATCCATATCCTAGTGTCATTGGAACAAAATGATTTCCATACTCAGTCTCATTTATAGGTCAAAAAAATAAATTTTATCCCACAAACAACAAATAAGAATTTTAATTAACTAATTTTTTATTTTTCCAGAGTGTAGTTATGTTTCTACATAAAACGTTTATGACAAATTGTCACTTGAGCATACATTCTTGCAAAAGGAAACAGCAAAAAGGTAATTGCTATTTTTCTCAAATTAATGGATTCTGTTTAATATCTTCAAACATCATAAAAACAACAAAACTAAATCCAATTAAATTTTTACCCTTGGCAATCTGATCCACATCTTCCAGAAGCAAACCAGGTCACCTTGAGATGGTATTTGAGTTGCACCCACATCTGTCCCTGATATGTCTTCTTGTTGTCTGCCCTGAGCCACAACAAACATCCTTGATTCCGGCTTTAGAGGGGGAACACCAACTCCAGGCAGGTAATAAAAATAGCATTAGAAAGACAAAATCAGGCTATGCTCAACAAAGAAAATGCATTAAAAAGTACAAAGAGGAAAAAGTTAAAACACCTTCAAAATAGAATCAAACTTTGGCAAAACAACAACTACTAAAAATCTTGATTTAAATTCCAAAACTATATCAGATAATCGTATATAATATGACCAAACTAACCTTCTATTTTTCTACATGGTGAATGTACCTAAGAATACAAACAAATTTAAGCTTTCTCTTTTGCTTTAAGATCAACTGAAGTCGTCTTCTTCAAGCAAACCCAAAAAATCAAACCAAGACCCGATAAGCAAATCATCAGAATTTCATATCAAATAAGCATAAATTTATAAAAAAATGTAAATAAAAACATTATATGAAACATAAAAATCATAAATCAAGATAGAGAGCTACCAATGGAGGTTTGTATATGTCATTTATTTACTGGAAGCATGTGGCTTTAGTGGTGCATGGGTTCGGATGGAGCATGTAAAATTTGTATCCAACGTTTGTCTAGAGATGGAGATATTGGTGGCTGATGGAGATAAAGCATGTGGTGGTCAGCAACGATGTTGAAAGCGATGATGGTTGGTGAAGTGAGCAGATGTTGTAATGGTGGTGCAGGTGTTGCGTCAGGTATTTGGGGTGATAAATTTGGGTGAAAGCGGTGATGGTAGTAGATGGAAGAGACGGTGATGATGAATAATTCATAAGAACCCGCTTTCTTATCTTCACCTTGGAAATCAGAGAGCTACAAAGAGTGGTGGGTTTGTAGGCGGCGATGAGGTGGCTAACAGTAAGGAGGTAAGGAAGAAGAGAAATCAAATTGACTGAACCTGTAGGGCTTTAACAGATCCAATGTTTTAGTCCATTGATGCCTCTTCAATTGACATTGTTTGATATGATTGTTACACGTGTCAACATTCTAATGAATAACATAAACAAAAATAGAATGCCCATTTCAAATTCGATGTAATAATAGTAAAAAAAACAGAAAATCGAACCTTTAATCACAAACATGCCTGCTTAGAGGAGACGGCGGTGGGAGATGTTAGAGGAGACGATGGTAAATGTCGTGTCTAGGGTTTTCAGAGAGGGTTGGGTGGTGTTGGAGACGATGGTATCTAGGGTTTTCAGATGGGCGATGGTTTGGTGGTGGTGGGGTAGAGAGGAGAAGGGAACACCAGTTCATGGTAAGGATTGCAGTTGATACTGGTGGAAGAGGCAAATGTGGATACAGAAACCATAAATGGAAAAGCAGGGATATGGATTAGGGTTCTTATCAGAGAGTTCAAGGAGAGAAAACATGGAGAAGGGTTCTTCCACAAGAAATGCCTATTAATTGACTGAGATAAGAGATAATATATAGAGTTTACGGGTAGACCAATTCAATATGCGGAAAATGAGGGAATACTGAGTTAATTTTGACCAATATTTCCTTAATTTTCTGTAATATAGGCACAAAGATAGGGGATAAGTGAAGAAACGCAACAAAGAATTGTAAATTGTTGAATGAGTCTCCCTGTAGATCAGTATTAGATAAAGTATTGCATAAACTTGTTGTACATAATATTTTAAGGGTTATACCTCTTAAAATTCAGCATTTGAGGCTAAATGCTTATTAAGGTATATATATATATATATATATATATATATATATATATATATATATATA